AAACCACCAAGTTTGAAAAATTGCAAAGCTCTGATCTCAGCCAGAGGGGGTTTCGCTAACCTGGGCCCCGATCGATCCCCGCCCTGTTCGCCCCAGCGGCCTCCTCATGGTGCGCCATCGTGGCGAAGCACCGCGTCGCGTGCTCGCTGTTCTGCAGGACCTCTCGGCACAGAGGAGAAGGGCACGGGCGCGGGAGTGAAAAGACTCCGAGGACGAGGAGGAGGAGGCGGAGGAGGAGCATCGAGGCACGAGTATCGACGGGGCCAGAAGAAGAAGGACAAAATACAACATTACGACATAGCCTTTTCGGAGGTCGGCGCGGATTCCATGGGTCGGCGCTGAACCTTGGCCGCTGGCGCGCGCGCGCATCGCCGCCAGAGGACGGTCCAGCGCCGATCGACAAGATCCGCGCAGAGCTCCGAGAGTTCATGCTTGTCACCTGGACGCCACGAACGGCTCCGCCGCAGCTGGTCATCGTCGCCTTCACTTCGCTCCTCCTGTTGTACTTTCTCTTCGCGCACTGCAGCCGCTGTCCAGGCCCTGGGGTGTGCGTGCCCGCTGCCAGGCGTGCAACACCGGCCGGCCGCCCCGACCGCTCCTCTGCGGGCCCCGCCGCGTGAGAGCTCTAGCACTTCCCCCCTCCCGCAGCCGCTCCTCCCGGTCAATTCGCAATGCCGGTCAATTCGCAATGCCGTCACCTGGCTTGCCCGAGCGCGCGTGCGGACTGCCTCTGCCGCGCTGCGACGTAAAAAAATCTTGGAGGATCGAGGTCACAGGGCAACGGCGCCACGGGCACGTATCGTTGCTATGTTGATCATCTTTACTTATTTGCGATGTCGCGTGCGGCTGCCCCGTTCCTCACTCCAGGCGTGCCGAGTCCCCACGTACAGTTGAGGCTCTGACGAGAACGCCCCAGCCCCTCGTGCTGCACCTCGCCCGAAGCATGATGCGGAGCACGCGATGATCACCTGACGAACAGCATCAGCCTGGCAACTCATTATCTCACACAGGTCTGCAAGAGGAAGTCCTCCTCCTCCTCCTCCTCCTCCCCTTTCCCCTTCCACCTCATCATCATCATCATCATCATCATCATCATCATCATCATCATCATCATCATCATCATCATCATCATCATCATCATCATCATTAGCAGCAGCAGCAGCAGCATCGTCATCACCATCAGCAGCAGCACCACCATCATCATCACCACCACCATCATCATCAGCAGCAGCATCAGCATCAGCATCAGCATCTGCATCAGCATCATCATCAGCAGCATCATTATCGTCATCAGCAGCATCACCAGCAGAACCAGCATCACCATCATCATCGTCATCATCATCAGCAGCATCACCATCAACATCCTCATCACCAGCATCATCATTATCAGCATCATCATCACCACCATCAGCATAATCATCATCAGCATCATCAACACCAGCAGCAACAGCATCAGCGCAAGCATCATCGCCATCGGCAACATCAGCATCATCACCACGATTAGCATCCTCATCATCAGCATCAGCAGCATAATCATCAGAACAACAATAATCAGAAGCATCAGCATCATCATCACCATGATCAGAAAAATCAGCATCATCATCGCATTAGCATCATCATCATAATCATCATCCTCATAATCGCCATCAGCATCATCATCACCGTCATCATCATCATCATCATCATCATCATCATCAGCAGCATCATCATCATCATCATCATCGTCATCAGCAGCAGCAGCAACATCACCAGCAGCATCATCATCACAGTCATCAGCAACAACCTCATCGCCATATTCCTCGCAATCGTCGTGCTGATCATCAGCATCAGCATCAGCGTCATTGCCGTCGTCGTCATCAATTGCAGCATCACCACAATCATGGTCATCATCCCCCTCTTCACACGCCAGAGAGGAAGCGTGGAGTACCATCAGTTGATCTTGAAGCTCCACCACGCAGGCTGTGCGGCCCTGCGCGGCAAGTAGGAGGTGGCACATATATATATATATATATATATATTTGACCAGATTAGCTAACAAGGAAGAGCGCCGACAAAACTGAAACTCCACTTCTGGCCTATGGAATCAGCATGCGGGAGCAAACCGCTGGCCACCTCCCATTCATCCCCCATTGAAGCCCTCCACCCCTTCCTTCCCAGCCCCTCCCTCCCTCCCGACGCCCTGATCGTCAGGACACCACGTCCACGAACACACACACACACACACACACACACACACATACAAACACTTGTTTGGCGTCGCGGCCCCGCGCGCGGCGACGGGGCGTAGAAACTCGAGTCCAAGCGGCGAAACGCGCGGGTATTCGCCCGTCCGAACTCTCAGAAACCCTAGGGTCCCGCAGCGCCCGGCGGTAGCCATAACCATCCGGGCCTGGATGGCGAAGAGGGGCGATGAGAAGACGAAGCTAGGGTGTAGGTGGGAGGTGGCAGAATCCAACCAGGACTGAACGGCGGGGAGAGCGAGTAGCCAAGTGTGGACCGACGACAGAAAGCGAAAAGGAGCGACGGCGGAGAGCGAGCTGAAGGCGGCAGAGCCGCAAAAAGTCGCAGGCCCAGGGAGCCGCGAGAGCCGGCAGGGCCAGGCGGCGCGCTGGAAACGGCGGCGGCAGAGGGGCGGCCCCTGAGGGAGCGGCCGGGGCAGCCCCCCAAAGGGGGGCCTGGGCGGGGGGGCCGGGGGGCGGAGGGAGGGAGGCGCCCCCAGAGAAGGCACGGGAGACAGGGCACGGGGGGAAGGGAGGAGGGGGGAGAAGGGGAGGCAGACAACACGCGGAGAGCGGCGAGCCTTTAGCGGAGCGCGCGCCGTAGCCACACGGCAACCCCGCAGCAGGGACGTGAACAGCAGGGTTGCCGTAGCCATAGGAGCCGTATATGCGTACCAGAAGTTGCGGAAGAGCGTCGGAGACAGAGTGTGGGGGTCAGCGGATGTGATGTTGTTCCGATGGAAATAATGGTGCGCCAGATCTAAACCTGTCGAAACCCTAGCTGCACCCAACCGGCTGCCCCGAGGGCCAGACCGCGTCGATGGGGATGTCGGCAGTGGGCAATTTGCAAACAAGCGGGGAGCGTGAGCGAGGGGGCGAGCGGGAGCGCGACGGGGAGCGCGCCACGACGCCGGACTGGCCGTCAGGGGCAGACGGCCGGGTAGACGTCACCACATGGTGCGCACCGTGCCGAGACATCCCAAACGTGACAGAGCAAACGTACAGCCAAACCCGTTGCCGGATGCAAAAACCTTCGCGGGTGCCGGGGCTAAACCGACAGTCCCGCCAGCCCCCAATGCCATCGCGTCTCAGCGGGACAAGGCCATTCCGACATTCGCGCCGCCAGGTGTCGCTCCGCTCCCCTGCACCAGATCACCCCGTCCAAGTGACGCGTCGGTCCTCTGCGCCTGGAATGCCTCACCTCCAGATGCGAGGTGGAGAGCAAGGCGGGGAATGCGGAGGACAGGGAGTGCCGACGACGGGGCCGCCGACGGGCCTGCGAAGGAGCTCAGCGGCGGAGCCGCCTGCGCCGGCGAGGTCCGGAGACCGGCCCTCAGAAGGCATGGGCGGGGAATTGGTGCGCAGGCGGTCGAAGATGATTCCCAAATAGCTCCTTGTAGAGCTAAAGGGTTGTGGGATTAATAGCCGGCACCGCAGGGTCGCCCTGGAATTCGTTCCACCCGCTGGCAGAACACCTCGCAACCGGATGCGTCAGCCGGAAATATGTTGCAGATGGCCTTTTAAAACTGCCCCCCGATACGCGTGCACCGATGCTTTCCAGAAGCGCTGCTTCCCAGAGCTGCCAGAGCCCCCTCGGAGGACCTTCCAGAAGCTTCCGTCGCCTCACCATCCAAGTTTAGGAAACCACAAGCGGCCCCGAGGAACTGCAAACGACGCAGGAGGGCGCCGCGCGGATCTGTGCGAGCCCCGAGCCGCCACTCCACGAGGGCGAGGCGGGCGATGCTGACTGGATGCACCGTCGAGGTGCGCCGAGACCTTACCAGCCAACGCACGGTGCGCACAGCCAGCCTCAGGCGGGCCAGCAACTGGGTCGCCGCTCCCAGGGCCAACGCGACGAGGAGGACATGGCGGCGCTGACGAGGAAGGCGAGCCAGCCTCCACGCAGGGCCTCGGGGGCCACTCCCCGGAGCGCACTGGCGAGGGCAGGCCGCTGAAATCGACGCAAGCCGAAGAGGCGGGCGGAGAAAACAGCGGGGGCCAAGGGCCCGTTCGGGGCGGTGAGAGGCGCGGCCCGGCACCAGTGCTCGGCGACCCGGATCCCCCACAGCAAACTGAGGCTCAGAGCTTCGTCGGAATCGCCAGCAATTCGAAGGGGGGCCATCCCCGCCAGGGCCCAGCAGTCCGGGGGGCGGCCCCCAGCGCGAGCACCCCGCGCGCGCGGGGAGAACTGGGGCCGCGGGCGCCGCCCAGGCTGCCGCGGGGCGTCGCGGGCCTGCCCTCGCCTCCGCATCTGCGCGGGGCGCCCGCCGACAGCTCCGAAAGCGGCCCCGTCGTCAGCGCGGGAGTGAGTCCGCAGGCCGCCAGGCGCCGACAAACTCCCGAGCGCTCAGCGGAGACGGCGCGCGCGGAGTCGCCATCACACAGCTCGAGGAGGCAGGAGCCGCGCCACTGCGGGCGAGGCGGGCAGTCAGGAGGGGCGCGGGGCGAGGCGCAGCGAGGACCACCAGGAGGAAAGCCAGGGAGGGCAGCGGGAAGGCCGTCGAGGAGGGAGTCGAGGCGGGCGTCGGCGGGGCGCTGGGCGCAGCACGGGAGACAAGGCGTCGGGGTCGACGTCGGGATCGGGCTCGGCATTGGCGCATCGGGATCGGCGTCGGGGGCGTCGACCGCGCCCACACGAGAACGGCCCTCAACGCGGAGCGGGGAGGCCGTCGGGGAAGCCGCCAGGGATGATAGCATCGGCGATCCAGGCCGTGCTGACGAGGAGGCTGCCATCAAAGCTCTCGGCTGCGTTGGCGAGAATGGCGACATCGGCGACCCACG